GCATATATATATATCCAGTGTTGAATATAATATCTTCAGGTTCAGAGAAATTTGAATTTTCTCTGGATTCAACCCAGAGAAATTCATACCATTAAGTTTAAAGAAAATTTATCACAAACTCATAGAAGAACTATTAATTGCCCAACTATTGTAACATACAACACGTACATTCATGGGCTTTGTAGAGTTGGATGTGTTGAATTTGCTTTGAACCTCATTCTCTGGATTTTTCAAATTTCTCTGGTTTTTAACTGAATTTTCTCTGGGTTAAAACCAGAGAAATTTTCTGGTTTTTGAACTAAATTTTCTCTGGGTTGGTCCAGAGAAATTCTTCCCAGAATTTCTCTGGACCAATTTTCTCTGGGACTGAAATTTCTCTGGATTGATGTTGAGGGACCTTAGACATCATGAAAATATTTGATGTCCTTTTTACTATAAAATCATAATATCAGGGACCTTAAAAAAAATACCCCTTAAAAATTTACTAAATATTTTGTCTTACTAAATTTACTAAATAAAAATTTACTAAAAATTTACTAAAATTTACTAATGGTATTTCTTGATAAATATTTTGTCTTATGATATTATTAAAAAAATTATTTTCTATTTTAAGAATTACTTTTTTATTTATTTCTCCCCCACAAACTCCATATTATTTTTCTATTTTATTAACAAACTCCCTATTTTTTTCTATTTTATTAAAATATAATTTTTAATTATAAATTTTAAAAAATAAAAATCATAAATATGTACTACAATCTCTAAACAAAAAATAAAAAAATAATAACAATAATAATAATTATAAGGGTCACTATAGCAATTTCTATTTTAGATAAGTGTTTTAAGGGCTTTAATCGAAGGGTATAAAGAGTAACTAATTCCTTAAAATAGGTAAGGATGAAATTTAGAAATTCTATTAAGAATGATCTTAGTATAATTTTTATTACACACCCTTTAAACTTTTAACAAATGTCCTATGGTACATATTAATAATATCATTTATAAAACAGAAATAAAGCTAAGTGTACAAAAATGATTAAGAAAATTAATTATAGATGAGACAAAAACCATAAATCTCACGTTCAATCAAAAACAAAACCCAAATGATGATTTAGTTGTATCAGGATCCTCTGAAGTTTCATCCCTTGAAGTGATCCCTGAAGTGGAAGATCCAACGGCTCAAAATGTAACTAACCAAAACGATATCATTTTGGTTAGTAATTTCAAAAAAATAAATAAAAAAAAAATTCAGCTTTATTCCTGCAAATATGAAGCAATAGAGAGAGAGAAAAGGGCTGAGAAGGAGGAGCAGGACGTCGCCGCCCCGCCCCGCCCCTCCCCTTTCCACTCCCGACGCACCATCGCCACCGCCACCGCATTTGAAGAAATAAGTTGTGCTGAAGCAGAGTATTGATAAGGCTTTATCCCAATTTGCACATTCCAAAAGAAGATACTTGGAAATGATCCAGATTGATTGGAAACAGAACACATAATTCAAAACACAAAGACAATTAATATGTCCAGATTAGCAAAGAGCAAGGATCCTCTAGAGTTTTTTTTTCCTAAAGTTTCCTAGAGTGGTACATTGTGTGGTTGAGATTTAATGACAAGTCACATCAATTTTTCAGCATTAAATCTCAACCACACAATACGCCACTTTAAGAAACTTTAGAAAAAAAATACTCTAGATCCTTGGTGATTAGCAAATTGATTAAATCAAACAAACTTTCACTATCTTCGATTCTGAAATTGATTCCTTCCAAACAAATTTATGAAATTCAATGATAGATATATGAATGTAGAGAGAGAGAGAGAGAGAGACCTGATCAACCATCTTGTGCTTGAGGATGGTGCTTCGATCGAGGACTTTCATGGTGACACTCTCACCACTCTCTGTGCACTGAGCAAACTTCACCTTCGCGAAGTTACCTTCGCCGATCGTCCACTTCGTACTTCCCAACCTTTCTCACCACCATCTCTCTCTCTCTCGGAAGAAGCTTTACCCTTAGTTTATTGTATAATAAAGTAAGCAAATTGGTGTTTGTCTCCTCAGAATCGAAGAGAGATAATAGAGAATTTTGAGCTCAAGCCTAACAGCAGAGAAAAGGAAAGCTTGTTTGGCAGGCGAGAAAAAAAAAAGCAAGGCCAAGTTGTCTGGCTTTTTTTCTCGGTCGGAATTCCTGGAAAATTTGTATGCGTTTTTGTCTTTGTTTACTATTTTTTGTTTGATTCTAAAGAGTATATTTACCAAAATAAAATAAAAGAAGAAGAATATAAGAAGAAAGGATTTTTTTTTTTTATTTATTGAAATTACTAACTAAAACGACGTCGTTTTAGTTAGTTTTATTTTTATCCGTTGAATTGAAGCACTTTAGGAAATCACTTCAAGATTTTAACTCTAGAAGATCTTGGCGCGATTTAGTGATCTAATTATGTGTTTGTAGCAAAGCGCATATAACAAGTTGAGTGAGAATAACATTATGCTAAATTTATAACCACTTAATGCAATCATTAATTGAATATTTATTCTAATAATTAATTCATATTAAATGTCAATATTACACATGTTATAAAAGAATTTGGGGGCAATTACCCAAAAAAAAAAAAAAAAAAACCAAAAAGTTAAAAAAAAAAGCTATCCCTCTTAATGGGATCTAGACTTGCCATATATATATATTAGCAAGGCATCGGTCCGAGTTTCCAGTTTAAAACAGAAGAAGTTTCCATATACAGAAGATTTTTTTTATAAATTTTAGGGGAAATTACAAAACAACCCCAGGGTGTGACCCTTGTAACAAAATAAACCTTGAATTTGTAATTTTGTCAATATAAACCCTAATCTTTTTATTTGTTTTCAATATAAACATCTGCCTATTTTTGCTAAGTAAAACCAACAGAAAAAGGGTATTTTAGTCCTTAAACTCATTGAAAAGGAATATTTTAAACATTTTATGTACACTTACATTGAGTTTAATAAAATATAATTTTTCAATCGGTTTTACTTAACAGAAGTAAGAAAATGGTTTAGATTGAAAATAAATCAAAATATAAAGATTTAAATTAATAAAATTAAAAATTTATAATTTATTTGGTTATAAGGATCAAACTCTGAATTTTTTTGTAATTTCTCCAAAGAACTTTATTTTTTTTAAATCGACAAAATGGGAAATTTATATATATACTATATATATATATATATATATATAAAGTAAAGGTTGGGCTTGTCCTGAAGCATTTTCTTCTCTTTATATCAAATGCATTTCTCATTTCTCTATTTTTTTTTTAAAAAAAAAAATTAGAAAGAGAAAAGAGAAGAGAGTGAATCTTGAACCTAAAACTTTATGTTACCACTTATTAACACAATATGCAATGCAATTTTTATTTATTTAAATTGTACACATGCATATTAGTTGATAATAATGAAAACGTTACATCAACAAATAAAAAGAAGAAAAATGCAAAAAACAGTGCAAAGGTGTGTGGAAATATTTTCTGAGTACCAACACGTGGCAAGGTGACGCCGACGTGTCAGCCGAGGTGCCACGTGTCTTGGTCGTTGTGCCGAGGTCATCTCGGCTAGGCCGAGATTGCCTCCGAAGATATCGGAATTCGAGATAAGCGAATAAGGAACAAGAGTCCTAGAATGAAGAGGGAACTCAACTTGGATATGGACAAGAGTCCTAGATTGGGAGAAGACTTCAGTTTGGGTAAAGATAAGACTCTTAGAGAGTTTATCCTAATCCCACTGGGAGTCCCAGATTAGCAGTAATCCTAAGTCCATTAGGGTCAGGCTCCTATTGGGACTAGGTTTATGTTGGCTATAAAAGAGAGGCACCCCCATGGGTCTAAGGTATGCTTTTGATACTTAAGCTTGTGAGTTTAGTATTTGATTTATCTTTGAGAGATATACTGACTTGATCGTCGGAGTGCCCCCGGGTGGTCGAAACCACCGCAGGATTCTTATATTTCTGTTGCAGGTCAGTCAGGTGCCATCTATTCTGCCAGTGTTTTCCAGCTGATTACTAAGCGGGCAGTGTGGTCGGAAAATCACCCACACAATTTGGCGCCGTCTGTGGGAACGAAAAGAGAATAGATGGCCACCACCGTACAAGATCAACGTGTCGGAAACAACTAGTTTAGCAAGGATGGAGAATATGTCGACATAATCGGAATGAAGACCCTTCCAGAAGGGATACAAAGACAGGGCGCATGAGCGCTTCCAAGAAAATAACATTCAAAGAGCTCAACCTGAATGAGCAGATCCAAGATTCCAGAAGACATGATCTCGGCTTAGATGAGTAGGCCTGAGAAAAAAAGAGCTCAACCTGAATGAGCAGGTCCAAGATTCCAGAAGACAAGAGCTCGACACTTAAACCCGAGAAGAGAAGAGCTCAGTGAGCAAATCTCAGATCCCAGAAGATAAAAAAGAAACACACAAGATCGGACTGAAGTTAGCCAAGATGAAGACCTGTTGTAAAGACCACAAAGGAGTATGTGGAAGCTATGCACGAGGCAGATCCCTTACCTACAGAACCATATCAAAGGGATTCTGGTGACCCTACGGACAAAAGGATGCAGAGGCTTATAAAAAACATGAGAAAAGAGACGGCTTGCCAAAACGAGGCCGAGGTAACAATGGATCCAGCAAGCAAGAGGCAGAGAGAAGAAGAATATGTTTAACACTTGTTGAAATTTGTAGCAATTTACAAGATGACGTTAAGCCGACATATGATCATCCGTTGAAATTTGCAGCAATTTACAGGTTGAAGTAAAAGCTAAGTATATCGTTTAAACACTTGTTGAAATTTGTAGCAATTTACAAGCAGATCATTATTTAACACTTGTTATAACTTAAGGAAAGTTTATAGGTTGAAATTAAAGCAGTATGTGTTTTATATCTGTTGGAATTTATGCAAAGTTTATAGGACAAGTTATTGCCGAGGTAAATCATCAGTTTGTATACCCGAGGTATGTCACTCCGAGAAGGTTGCACAAAGAAGGAAGAGCATACTAAAGATACGCAAAATATTTTAAGTATAGAATTATGCAAACGCAGTCAAGAAAAGACAAAGGCACAAGCATTCAGAGAAGGAAAGTTGCATTAGACATTCAAGAACAAGGAGCACATCGGCCATATGCAGAGTTTACATTATCTAAAAAAAAACAAAAAGGTACAAGAGTACAAGCGACAAAAAAGGAAAAACTTCAAAAACTGAGGTGATGCTTAACCGAAGTTAAGCCGAGATGATGTTTAACCGAAGTTAAACTGAGATGATGCTTAACCGAAGTTAAACTGAGATGATGTTTAACCGAAGTTAAATTGAAGTGATGCTTAACCGAAGTTAAACTGAGATGATGTTTAACCGAAGTTAAACTGAAGTGATGCTTAACCGAAGTTAAGCCGAGATAATGTTTAACCGAAGTTAAACTGAGATGATGCTTAACCGAAGTTAAGCCGAGATTATGTTTAACCAAAAGTTAAACGGAGATGATGCTTAAACCGAAGTTAAAACGAAATGATGTTTAACACTTGTTGAAATTCTGAGAGTGCACAAAGTTAAATATCGGCAAAAGATTCGCCGGAGTCAAACGTCGTTTTGATTAGAACAGAACCACTAAGTGCACGCCAGAAGTGGTGACCCGAATTGTGAAAGGAATAAATGTTTCAAGAAACAGCGATGATAGTTTGCAAAGGCCAAGAGAAAGAGGGTCTAAAGGGGGTGCATTAAATACCAGAAGTTTTAATACATTGGTGAAAGTAGAACACATCAGGTCTATGACTACGGCACGAAGCCAACTTCCCTAATGTGATCCTAAGTACAACTTATGTTCACATTAGGGGGCAGAGAGAAGGTGCAGGGGGAAGGAATAATAATTAAGGAGCAAAGAATGTTAACACTTGTTGAAATTTTTGAGCAAATTACAAGATGAGTTAACCAAAGATTATGAAGTCTACCACTTGTTGAAATTTGTAGCAATTTACAAGTTTGGTATAGCCGAGATAACACTGAAAGACGTTTCCGAGATATGATCATCCGAGATGACCAACTAGCTTGTTAAGAGCTGAGAAGGTTGGCAAGTATAAAAATGAAGACCTTAAAGAATTAGGGACTAAAAGCAATAACGTCGGACTGATCTGCTTCGACGGACGACGATGGTTCAGCCTCAGCAGTCAGTTGGAGGAGCTTCTCTACCGTTACCTCGGCATCAATTTCAAGAAAGAAGCAAACTACTCGGCATCAACGGCAGGTTGTGTCTCACCCCCAGAAGACAGTTGGAAAGAACTTCTCAGCAGCCTTCTCAGCTACGAAGCTCAGCATCAATCTCCTGAAGAGTTTGGTCAAAGCTTTTCTCGGCGATTGGCACCTCGGCGTTTTGAAAGCAAGGATTGAAAGCAAAACTCTGGGAAAAGACACAGAAAACAGAAACAAGAATGTAATTCGTAAATCAAAAATGGTGACGAAGCTATTAGGAAATCAAGACAAAAAGATTGCACAAGTGTGTCAAGCCAAGAACAGTGGCAGAAAATCAACAGATGTGTGAACAGTGTGTATTCAAGAAGATAATTTGGAAACAACGGGTAAAACAGCAATAGTGATTAACAATGAAGCAGAACTTCTTAGAAAGCAACAAGAAATAAAACTAGGAGGAACAGTGGCTTACCAGAAAGAGGGAAGCCGGAATGAGAGTTGCCGAAGTCTGACGACAATGACAGAATGACGTAAGCTTCACCGGAGGAGAGGAACGAAGACAGTTGCAGAAGCTTGAAAGCTTGGAACAATGACGGATTTAAGCAAAAGAGCTAGAAAGAGAAAAAGCCAGAGGATTTAATGAAAAAAGAGAAAAATAGTCAAGAAAACGATAAAGTTCAAAAATAAAGCCAAGTACGCAGGCACTAAGTAAGTATGTGAAGAACAAGAAAGTAATGACCCAAACACGATGCTAGCAACAGAAAGCGGATATGACAAGAACAGTGCCAGGCATTCAAACAATTCAAAACTTGAAGACAGACGAAAATAAAAGGCAACAGATGGCAAATAAACAGATTCAGAAGAGTTATGAAAGATTGAGCTTAATAGCAAGTAAAGAGTTTATGAACCTACAAAGTGAAATGAACGCCGATATGAAAATCGCCGGAGTCAAATAGATGACTGGAAATCGGGAACTCATCAAAGAGGGTGAGTGGAGCAGTTGCAAAGCTCTTGGAGTTTATAAAATAATGGAACCATAAACCTCGGCTAGGAGGTGTGATCTC